CCACGGATATGCTGAATAGTTAATAGCAGTCACGATGAAGAGAGGGTGCTAAACATTAATTTATCACAGAGCCATCTATACACAAGGTTTGGCCATCGGGATTCAGTTTTTTACAACATGGCGTATTATCTTGTTTAGTGCTTGCCCAACAAAGCAGCTCAGCTGGAACCTTGTTGGCCAACTTTCCTAATCACTGGCCCCGATGTATCATGACTTTGAGCATGTTAACAGGTTGATGAATGTTTTTTGTTAATGCAATACTTAATTCATTTTAGCACTATATTAATAGACTTTTTTTTAGATAAAATGTAATTGTTTTTAAAATCTTTTATCGGCTGTTTTCTAGTCTTAATACTACTATTAATGGTGTAGAGTTGGTCGAGTCAACAAGTCATCCGCCCTTTTTTTTTATTTTGTTAAGAGCTTATCATAAAGAATTTGTTTCCAAAGAATTGATTTCCAGTCAGCTGTTTCCTATAATTATTGCGATAGAAATTCACGATCAACAGTATCAGAATTCGTCAAAACATTATCTTATATATATTTTTTAAGTGCCGAGCTAGTTGTGTTAAAAATGTTATGATTTGATAAAATATATATTACTGATTCTCCATTGCCAAAACTTGTGCGTGGCAGTTTGTTCTGATTCAAATCAATTATACGATGTCCCTTTTTTTTAAATTTCTTTTTATTAATTTGTTTCATTTAACATCTGAAGAAAAACAAAAATCATATGCAGGTTCTGTCTATTCTATTACAAAATTCTTAGATAATTACGAACCGATGGTATGAAATGGCCTTTGCCCCACGGAGCTATATCCTTCACGTTTCCCTAATCATTTTGTTCCTGTCTATTCATGTATAGTTTGCAAACCTAAGATCATGATGAATATCATTATAGTAGGCCTATAACCATGATTACTCGCGAAATTGTCCTCTGACTAATCACCAAATTTGATTTCGAGTAATAGTAGGTAATTGCGGAACCCATTTATTATGAAACGGAGATGGGGTTCTTTTTTCTCTCTGTCGAACACATCTTTAAACTTAATGCTGAGTATGAAGTCGCGTATAATTTTTCAGAGATCATCCTGGAGCAACGTTATCTCATGACAGCGATATTCGAAATTGAGATAGAAACGGCCCATTTATTTCTCAAGGACATGCATCATGCATGAGCAGCATTATCGAGGTTTTTGGGGCATAAAATGCCTAAATTTCAAAGGTTGAAATTAAATCCTGATGACCGTTTGAACTGCGAGAAGAAAAAAAATCCTTTCCCTGATTTATGACCTTGCACATAGTCATATCACCATGCAGGGAAGAAGCCTATTGCGCATAAATAGTCTTATATATATAAAGATCTAAATTCAATTTCGCGCTTGCATTGATGGGCCTCTTTATTGCTAGAGAAAATATCAGATAAGAAGAATTCTATTCGCCATGTTGCGGACAGAATTTTGTCGTCTTTTTCGTAATAACTTAGTTTGGCCGGTGGGGGCGTTTACTACTACGGACAGCAAATACTTCTGTGAGTGGGAAGATTTACCCAGTGATTTCACCGACTATTAATCAAGTCAATCCTGTCGAGACCCAATGTTGTAAGTGTTAATTCATGTCAAATCCTGTAGTTAAGATGTTAAAGAGTAGTATGATTATTAATTTGTGATAATTTAAGGATTATTAGTGACCGTATTGATGAAAAGTGTTATGAAATAGCTACATGGTTGGGCATTTCAAAATGGCTGCTCGCATGAGCATGTATAAACAAGTGCATAGGATTGTACATGTATGTGAGTTGATAAGGCACGTATGAAACATAAATAATGACATGTAAGGTTAGAGATATAAATGTTATGAGGTTATCAGGCAAGATAACCGTAGATAAATTACTCAGTATATGTGAAAGGATGATTTAGCCACAAAACTGGCTTTGTTAATTTTGAGTTGTGTACAATTTGACTCCTGACATTGACAGTCAGTGGGTGTAAATGGACGTTCTGTATGATATGTTCATGAATATTGATGAAGTCCAGCTAATTAAAGCAGTTAAGTGGTAATAAGATTCCGCTATTTGGCTTACAATAGAGCAGTATTGGATAATGCTTGTGATTGTTGATTTATAAGCAAGGTATTTATTATTGTTTATGTTTTGTTTGTTCATATACAGATTGAACCACACTTCAGGTTACTACACGTCACTTCGCTTCAGAAGTTCAGTCGTTGTGCATTGCTTTGCGCATTAAACGTCATGGTATCATAATTACACGGCATTGGCAGGACTCCTTTGTTTAAATAGACAGTTGGTGGATGAGGGTGTTTGTGCTGAATTAACGTCATCTATAGTTCAATAACAGGCTTATTGTGAGCTGTGTTAACTGTCACCTGTCACCATGAGCTCCTCAAGTACTGAAACTTCGAGTGAGGCCAAGCCGGATAGACCGGAAGACTCAGCCCTGCAATGCAGCAGAAGCATCGCTAGTGAAATCCAGCCTGGAGATAGTGTAAGCCAGTGTGCCTCTGTCGTCAGTGTCAGTTCCAGTGTCAGGTCCAAGGTGAAAAGGGCAGCCCTTACAGCAGAAGTAGAGGCCCTTAAAGAACTTCAAGAGTTACAATTGGCAGAGTTAAAGCTGAAACAACAGAAGGATGCACTGATGTTAAAGACCAGGTTAAAGGTAGCAGAAGCAGAGGAAAGGGTGCACCAAGAAGAAACTGGTGTTATCAGGCCTCAAGGAAGTATGTCTGGAATGGAGCACCCACAAGCTGATATCAGGCCTCAAGGTAGTAGATCTGGAATGGAGCACCCAGAAGCTGATATTAGGCCTAGGTCTAGAGTAGAGCATCTAGAACTGATCGAGCTCTTACAGCTGCCCAGAGCTGAACTGATGACCTTCGACGGAGACCCACTGCAATACTGGGAGTTTTGGAGGTCGTTCCAGTTAAATGTAGACAACACAAAGATCTCTGACTCTGCAAAGCTAACCAGACTTCTTCATTTCTGCAAGGAAATGTAAGAAAAATAATTCAAGCATGTTCTGCGATGAGCCCAGACAAGGGATATGTGAGAGCTAAGGCTCTTTTGCAAGAGCGATTCGGGAACAGACACAAGGTTGCAGACGCCTGGTTAAGAAAGGTAACTGAGGGAAATCCCATTCCTCAACACAACGGGCCAGCCTTGAGAGCCATGGCAGATGAGCTTCGAGTGTGCTACGAAACCTTAAATGCCATGGGGTACAACCAAGAACTAAGTTCACAAAGGACATTAGCCGATATTATTGAAAGGCTACCCGTCTACTTCCGATCTAGATGGATCAGGATAGCAAGGAGGATCCAGAGAAAGGAGGACCGACTACCAGACCTTGCTGACCTTGTTTCCTATGTTGATGAGGTAGCTGATGAAGAGAATGATCCGGTATATGGCTCTCTTCAGCAGAAAGGAAGGAAACAGGGTATCTCTGGAAGGAAGGAGCAGGTCCCTAACAACCGGAGCAAGGGAGTGTACAGCGTCAAGAGTGAAGACGTGTTGAAGTGCAGTTTGTGTGGCCTTGATCACAAACTGTTTGGATGTCCCAAGTTTAAAGGAATGTCACCCCAGCAGAGGTTTGACTTCGCCAAGAAAGAACGTTTGTGTTTCAACTGTTTACTGAAGGGACATATGACGTCAGCGTGTAAGCTTAACAGGACTTGTACAGTTGCCGGTTGTGGAAGAAAACATACAAAGTTTCTTCACTTTCCGCAGTCTTCAACAGGGGAACTGCGCCAAACATGACACAGCAAAGAGGTTCAGATAATGTATCTGAGAACAGTGATACGATTGCCTCTCATAGTAGTATCACAGGAGCCGGAGGGATGAGAATTGCACTTCCTATTGTCCAAGTCAGAGTAAAGGCTGCAGATTGTGATACATTTACTGATACATTTGCCCTTCTGGACAGTGGTTCCACGGGCAGTTTTTGCACTAAGGACCTTATGCACAGGCTAGGAGCATCTGGCAAGAAGCAGACGTTGTCTATTTCAACATTAGAGAATGCCAATAGCACTTTGGACTCTGTGGTGATCAGTCTGCAAGTTGAAGGCAAGACTACAGGCGAGAAGGTTAATCTACCAAGAGTCTATACCAAGTCAAAGATAAATGTCAGTCCTGAGCATCTTGCCAAGAGGGAAGATATCAGGAAGTACCAGCATCTATCTGATCTGAACATTCCAACCATAGATGATGTCCAAGTTGATATGCTTATAGGGCAGGATGCTTCGCAAGCACTAATCCCTCTGGAAGTGAGAAAGGGAAACCCAGGGGAAGTATATGCAGTTCGCACCATGATGGGATGGACTTTGAATGGCCCCCTTGATGCAGGTGGTTTCCAGGGCCATGTCTCCACGAACTTCGTCTCTGAGAACTCAACACTAGATGAACAGGTAAAGCAGTTTTGGGCTATAGAGTCAACTGGTTCCCTTCTGTCTGACCTGAAGGCATGTCTGTAATGGACAAGAAGGTTCTCAAACTGTGGGATGAGAACGCAAAGATGAAAGAAGGTCATTATGAGCTACCAATTCCATTCAGGGAAAGACCACCACCTTTGGAGGATAGTCGATGGATGGCACAGCAGAGACTTTCATCGCTGAGAAGGAGGTTGCTCAAGGACAGGAACCTACATATGCGGTATCAGGAAGGTATAGCAGACCTAGTACGCAAAGGGTATGCTGAGACCGTGACTGATGAGTCCTCAGACAAGACGTGTTGGTACCTTCCTCATCATCCTGTCCATAATCCAAAGAAACCAGATAAATTAAGGATAGTGTTTGACTGTGCAGCGAAACACAAGGGGATCTCTCTTAACGATGTGGTCTTACAGGGCCGGACTTGACAAACAACTTGCAGGGAGTGTTGCTGAAATTCAGGAAGGAACCAGTGGCATTAATGTCCGACATAGAGGCCATGTTCCATCAAGTCCGCGTCCCTGTAGAAGACAGAGATGTCCTGAGATTTCTGTGGTTTCCTGATGGCGACCTTGACAAGACTCCCACAGTGTATCGCATGTGTGCTCACTTATTTGGTGGGACTTGGAGTCCTAGCTGTTGTAGCTATAATCTTGAAGAGGACTGCTGAAGACAACCAAGATGAATACTCATCAGAGACTGTGAAGACTGTGAAGGAGAACTTCTACGTAGATGACTGTCTGGTATCTGTTGCTAGAGAATGTGAAGCAGTCAAGCTTGCTGATGAACTTCGGTCTCTTCTAGCTAAAGGAGGATTTAGACTAAGCAAGTGGGTTAGCAACAGCCCAAAAGTGATGGAGACTATCCCACTCAAAGATAGAGCCAAGAAGATTGCTGGTTTGGATCTATCTATGGATGCACTACCAGTCGAGAGAGCCTTGGGTATTTGCTGGGATGTGGAACAAGACTGTTTCATGTATAACGTCATACCTAAGGACAAGCCCATGACGAGACGGGGAGTTTTGAGTACCATTGCAACAATGTATGATCCACACGGATATGCTGCTCCCTATGTGATGAAAGCCAAGATGTTGTTACAAGAGATGACAGCAATGAAGCTCGAGTGGGATGATCCATTACCTACTCATTTGTGTCAGAAGTGGCAAGACTGGCTGGATGACATGAAATACATGGAAGAATTCACTGTGAATAGATGTCTAAAGCCACATGACTTCGGTGAGGTATCTGATCGTCAGCTACATCATTTCTCAGATGCTTCTGAGAAAGGCTATGGTGCAGTGTCCTACATGAGACTGACAAACACTGACGGGAAGGTGTATAGCAGTATTGTGATAGCTAAATCACATGTGACGCCCTTGAAGAAGATCACTGTGCCAAGACTAGAACTGATGGCAGCCACACTATCTGTTAAGCTAGATGCTCTGATTCGCAGACAGTTGGACTTGTCCATTAGTGAATCTCATTTTTGGACAGATAGTACGATAGTGCTCAACTACGTGAGGAATGAGGAGAAACGATACAAGACGTTTGTTGCCAATAGAGTTGCTGCTATCCACGAGGGGTCGAATTCAGATCAATGGAGTCATGTAGACTCAACAGCAATCCGGCAGATGAACTGTCCAGAGGAATCAGCAATGGAGTTGATTCAGAATACAAGGTGGACTGAAGACCAAGCTTCATTAAGCAATCAGAAGACAACTGGCCACGAGACCCAACAGTGATGGAGTCTATAGATGAGAATAATGAGGAAATCAAACAGCCTAAACTATCTTCTCATATGGCAAGTCAGTCTGGTAAAGATGGATCTGATCATGAAGGAAAGGATGTAATAGATGAGTACATCAGTTATACTCATCATGGTACCAGCTGAAACGGAGTGTGGCCTGGATGTTACGTGTTAAGGACTATCTGAGAAGCAAGGTTCATAAAACGTCATTTGATGTAAAGAGGACACTTGACGCAGAAGACTTGAGAAAAGCTGAACGAGCCATACTGAGACATGTTCAGCAACAATGCTTTCCTGAAGAGTTCAAAATCCTTCAAGAAAATGCTAAGGAAAGCAAAGGACAGAAATGCAGAATAAAGAAATCTAGTCCTCTCTTAAGACTAGACCCAAGGATGTTGAATGATGGTCTAGTTCATGTAGGGGGACGCCTTCAGCATGCATCAGTGGAAGAGCAGACGAAGCATCCCATCATTCTACCAAAGAAGCATCATATTGTAAAGCTGATTGTGCGGCATCTCCATGAAGCGTTGGGGCATTCTGGACGAGAATATGTCCTGTCGTCACTCAGGTTGCAGTACTGGGTGATACGAGGTAGAGTGGCAGTGCGAAAGGTGCTGAAGGACTGTGTGGTTTGCAGAAAGCGGTCAGCAGCTCCAAGCTCGCAGAAAATGGCTGACCTACCAGAAGATCGAGTGCACTCGGAGAAGCCACCATTTTCCTATGTTGGTGTAGACTGTTTCGGTCCCTTTATGGTAAAACAAGGACGCTCTCAGGTGAAGAGATACGGGTGCATCTTTACTTGTTTGGTGGTACGTGCAGTTCATATTGAAGTATTACACTCGTTAGATACAGATTCATTTCTGAACGCTTTGCAGAGATTTATGGCACGTAGAGGTCAGCCAGAAGTAATCAGGAGTGACAATGGCACCAACTTTGTTGGAGGTAATCGTGAACTGAGGGAAGGAGTCCAGAAGTGGAACCAGCAGAAAATCCAGAATCACTTGTTGCAAAAGGGAATCGATTGGAAGTTCAACCCTCCAAGTGCCTCTCATATGGGGGGCTCCTGGGAAAGACAGATCCGGACTATCAGAAAGGTCCTAAGTGCGCTACTGAAGCAACAGGCTCTCTCTGATGAGGGCTTATCTACCTTGATGTGTCTGGTGGAAGCTGTTATCAACGGTCGCCCGCTCACCGTGGTTTCTGACGATGTTAGGGACCCAGAACCTTTGACGCCAAACCATCTCCTCCTCCTACGTCAGAGCAATGTATTCCCTCTGATGTGTTTGGTAAGAGTGACATGTACAGTCGACGGAGATGGCGTCAAATCCAATTTCTCGCAGACGTCTTTTGGCGCAGGTGGACTCGTGAGTATCTGCCTGCCCTCCAACAACGACAGAAGTGGTTAGTGCCAACGAGAAATCTAACTGAGGGTGATGTTGTGTTGATTAAGGATGACTTGCCTAGAAATCAGTGGTTGATGGGTAGGATTGTTGAGACATTTGCTGGCAGAGACAATTTGGTCAGGACTGCAAAGGTGAAAACAAAATCAACCACTCTAGTGAGACCGATTCATAAACTGTGCTTAATAGAATCGGCAACATAGAACTCTAACTGAACTGGACGAACGCTTAGCTGTTATCACATCGAGCACAAATTTGGTATTTCTGAATTTAGAGAAATCTGTTATTTGATGAATGTATGTTTGTAAAGGATTTGTAAAGAGATAACCATGCAAATTTGTTATTTTTGGAACAGAGCAAAGGTTAGTCTGGTGCAAAGACTATTAGTTTGCAGAAATTTAGGGTCTGCAACCTAGACTATCCATTGAAGGTAATGAAGGGTTTGGAAACTAGACTAACCACCAAATTATTCATAAGGTCTGAAATTTAAGACTAACTCATTTTTGGGTCTGACTTAAAGACTACTTTGATTTAAACGAATGAGTCTGGAAATTCAAAATACTCATTATTTGGTTATGAATATCTCTTGACAAACCGATGTTTGGTATGACATGTAAAGAAATGATTTCTTTGTGATAGCTTTTTATGAATGCTTGTTAAAAAAATATATATAATTTTGCAGTCTAGGGTCAAGATAGAAAATGACCATGCATTTCATTTATTTGAAAGATCCAAAGGAATTGCAGTGTTATACTAAAACATTGTGTACATTGAAAGGTGCAGCTCAGCTGAGTTTATGTTACACAGACAAATAGCTTGTTTTGTAGACAGTACACAACAGTGGATTTGCTTCAAATTCATTATGGAGTTATCAAGTTACTTTTTTGGAGTTTATATTTGAATGTATTTTGATCTTTTTATATAGATGCTCACATTTAAAGTTAAACTACGCTTTAGGATGGAAGTGGAATTTTTAGTTTAAATTAATTTGTTTGGATAAATGTAAAGTTTGATACCGGTACTATACATTTAAGGGGCCGGGATGTTGCGGACAGAATTTTGTCGTCTTTTTCGTAATAACTTAGTTTGGCCGGTGGGGGCGTTTACTACTACGGACAGCAAATACTTCTGTGAGTGGGAAGATTTACCCAGTGATTTCACCGACTATTAATCAAGTCAATCCTGTCGAGACCCAATGTTGTAAGTGTTAATTCATGTCAAATCCTGTAGTTAAGATGTTAAAGAGTAGTATGATTATTAATTTGTGATAATTTAAGGATTATTAGTGACCGTATTGATGAAAAGTGTTATGAAATAGCTACATGGTTGGGCATTTCAAAATGGCTGCTCGCATGAGCATGTATAAACAAGTGCATAGGATTGTACATGTATGTGAGTTGATAAGGCACGTATGAAACATAAATAATGACATGTAAGGTTAGAGATATAAATGTTATGAGGTTATCAGGCAAGATAACCGTAGATAAATTACTCAGTATATGTGAAAGGATGATTTAGCCACAAAACTGGCTTTGTTAATTTTGAGTTGTGTACAATTTGACTCCTGACATTGACAGTCAGTGGGTGTAAATGGACGTTCTGTATGATATGTTCATGAATATTGATGAAGTCCAGCTAATTAAAGCAGTTAAGTGGTAATAAGATTCCGCTATTTGGCTTACAATAGAGCAGTATTGGATAATGCTTGTGATTGTTGATTTATAAGCAAGGTATTTATTATTGTTTATGTTTTGTTTGTTCATATACAGATTGAACCACACTTCAGGTTACTACACGTCACTTCGCTTCAGAAGTTCAGTCGTTGTGCATTGCTTTGCGCATTAAACGTCATGGTATCATAATTACACGGCATTGGCAGGACTCTTTGTTTAAATAGACAGTTGGTGGATGAGGGTGTTTGTGCTGAATTAACGTCATCTATACGCCACATTGCTTGCCAAATTGAATGGGTCAATGGGAAAGTCCTTTGAAGCCACAGCATAATAACTCAACGGAATTGATAAAAATTGAATCTCGACAGCTGTTGAAATAACCGGCGATTGGAAAAAGCTATTTCCAAAGAGCAACGATGTGAAACAATGACCATTTTTTCCCTTTGAGGACCTTCATATAGAACATTCAGACAGTGGCGGATCTAAGGGGGCCCCGGGGGAGGGGGTGTAGGCGGGCTCCTTCAGGCGCGGATCCAGGATTTCTTAGGGGAGGGGGTCCAACTTTTTTTTTTTTTTTGCTCCCGAAAATTTGAAAATCGCGCCTGCCGAAAAGTCGCTCAGTGGGGGGGGGGGGGGGGGGGGGGGGGGGGGGGGGGGGGGGGTAAGCGGACATTTTTTTTTTTTTTTTTTTTTTGAGTCCCAAAAAAAATCGCAACGACTCAGTCAGCCGAAAAAATCGCTCAAATGGGGGGGGGGGGGGGGGGGGGGGGGGGGGGGGGTTTATCACAATTTTTTTTTTGGTCCTCGAAAATTTTAAAATTTGCACCCCCCCCCCCCCTTGAGCGCCAGGGGGGGGGGGGCCCAACCCCCAAAATGGTAAAAATCGCGTGATTTTGCATGATTTTTTTCTCAAGGGGGGGAGGCCCGGGCCCCCGGGCCCCCCCTGGATCCGTCACTGGGCTCCTTCCCCTGGCCCCCAAAACAGGTAAATTTATCCTTTTTGAAGAAAAAGAAGAAGACGGGCCCCCTCCCCCTGTCTCAAGGGACGGGGGGGGGGGGGGTGTTGGGTAAACAAATACTGCTTACTACCCTTCCCCTTCCACCCGTAGAGCAAAAAAAAAAGAGGAAAAATAGTGCTCTCTATCTATTCCATTTTCTATCTAGATATATTTCTTCTCCACATTTCCTTATCTCTATTTCCCTAATTCAAGCTTTATATCCCCTTTCTATATCTCTTTTCTCCTCTCTCTAATCTATATTCTCCTCTTCTCTCTCTCTCTCTCTCTCGCTCTTTCTTTCGTTCTGTATCTAGATTCTCTCATTTTGGCGTAATAAATTCGAGATCTCAAATAAGGTAACAAACAGAACAATCATTATTGTATAATGCCTAATTATTTCAGCGGTAGGAATATATTATGTTTTAAAGACAAAAGCTCCATAAAATTACCATAAAAATATGTTGAACAGCAATGAAGGTAAGATATCAAATTCGATAATATTAAAAGGCGAACAATCCGGAGGATTGGTATTACTTAAACCTATACACACCGGGTTTTTTTCTTTCTCCAAGGAATGCGTGGCATCGAACGCAGTGCTTCTGCCTGAGATTTTTTCTTCTTCACGATAACTGAAAGGACAAATGCCAATAGCAAGAAAAATCGAAAAAACAGACTTGAACGTTAAGTTACTTCATTTTCAAATTTGGAAATGATGCAGAGTATTAAAGCTCTCTTGTCTCCTTGTTAATTGCTTCATCCCATAAGGCAGCATTACATTTACACTAAAAAATTCTAAACCGTGTTTTCCCCCTTTTCATTCGTTCTATGAGTCAGTCGACGTGCATCCTTTTCAACGCCTCTATCGCGTGTTTGCATTCATTATTGGAACTTACTCAATCAGAACTTCCATGAGGTTAAACCAGGCGTAGATCCGTTAGTAGACTCTAATGTTTGAACAGAAATATATAGGGGGAATAAAAAGACTTAGGGGGTAGCAGGGCACACACCATGCCAGGGGCGGATCTAGCTTTTTGCTAAGGGGGGGGTTGACCAAAATAATGACGATGCGGAGCATCGTCCACGAGCCGCGAAGCGGCGAGCCGATTTTTTTGGGGGGTTTATTTGAACCCCGTAAGTGATGTTTTCCTGGCATCTATTAACACAATGGAGACCATAAAAAGCAGTGCATGATAACGTCTTTTAAATCAAGTAACAGTTAAATACACAGTTATATCCAGAGTTATCATGTGTTTGGTTAAGTTACCTGATGAGTTGAATATCTTCTCAATATATTGCACTTGAAAGGGTTTCTCTCCAGCGTGCGTTCTTTTTCTTTTTTTTTTCTTTCTTTTTTCTTTTTTTCCTTTTTTTTTTTTTTTTTTTTTTTGGGCCGCCAAGGGGGGGGGGGGGGGTTGCAACCCCCCCAACCCCCCCCTGGATCCGCCACTGCATGCCTACATAATTAAACCCAAAAAGGTTGTCCAAGTATCTATAAAGAGTGGAGGTGGAATTAACAAAAAGGAAACGCGACGTGACCCCCCCACCCCACACCCCCCCCCCCCCCCCACCCCAAAAAAAAAAAAAAAAAAAAATCTTGAGTCCCATGGGCCAATTTTTTCCGATAGTGGACATAATGTCGACACCGCGCGATATCGCGTATTCGATGATTTTGAATGTATCTTATTACCAGCAAGTTTTATGTCTAGCTACACAACAAATTAAGTCATTGAGTCAATTTTCTCTAAAGAAATGTAAGTTTTCGGCCTTCATATTTGATTCCTCTTCATAATGTTCATTAGATCTACAGTAGATGTGGGATGAGTAGAATATATTTTGCCGTTAATGTCGCGGTGTGAACTAACTTACTATTTTATTACTTAGTAGAGTATTGATCAAACTTAATCATTGTCAATATGTGTGTGTGTATGGTGTAGGCCTAGCCTATGCGCGGCCTATGCTTTGCGCTATGCCTATGGCTTTGTTTGTACAGACTACAGTAGATCTACGGTCTACACGTATCAAAAATAAGATCATAGATGTCCCTTTTACTTTGAATTTGATGAGAAAATATGAATCGGAATAACACTAACAATTAGGTTATAATTTTATTTCAACATAGACTTAGTCTCAAATCAAAGGATTAATGAAATATTCTATGTAATTTGCCAACAAGTTCAAATCAACTGTTCGGTACCACTGTCTACGGTAGTACTAGATCTACTACCGGCGCAGTACGGGGACTGCGCGGGCGCGGTGCGGTGCGGCTATATTCCTTCCCTTTTTCTGAATAAGTCTGCCTCCTTGAATTTACTGAAGATTCTTGCAAACACACATG